CTGTGTCTAACTTGAAGTGCAAGCTGCCTTTTATAAATTAAATACTTTTCAAATTTTTTATTTGCCTTTGGTTGATTCTCACAGCCTGGAATTTTTTTTTTTTTTTTTTGGCAGTTTTTTTTTTTTTTTTCCAGTTTTATACTTGTTTTTCAGGGAGAAGCTTTGCTGACCTCTACATTCTGCTACAGTTGGAATTCTACTCCTATTGTTATCTATTTATAAACTATTCTTAAGAGATTATACAAATACGCCTTATTATGATTCCTATTTTAAGTGGATAACCATATAGCTTGGCTTTTTAAAGCCAAAAGTATTTTTCCAAAACAGTATAATTTAAAATCCAAGTTAAACTTTTGATTTTTAAAGACAGTTATTCATGTCAATATATTCTGTCTAATTATACGGATATAAGTTCTCAATAGAGTAAATGGTAAAATAATTTGTGCTTTTTTTCTCAGGTGACGAAATATGCATTAAAGAAATGTCCAAGCTGTTCTATAAGCTCTTCTAAGGCATGAAAGTCTCTATTATTCAAAACGGTGTTTCACACAAGCATTGCCATGCATCTGATTTTGTTAGAACATCACCTTAAATGCCAATATGACTTTATCTTGTTTGAGAGAAAATGTGTATTACAATGTTGTAGATTACTGAAGTGTTTTTGAAGTGCCTGAGCTCTTATTTTAATTTAAATTTATTTAAATTATTTTTCATTGCTTTTTTCTTGAATATCAATATAGTGATAGTTCTAGTTGTCATAAATGTAAACTTAGACTTTTTTTTACTAAGATTTCTTTCGTTATAATTAGTTGTCAAATGTTCCTGAACATTTAGCCATTAGTCAGTAATATTTTTACCATCCTGCATAATTGCAGGAGATTCCTGTTCTTAGATATTGAAATTGGGCTCTGTTATAGGGCTTCATAGATCTGATTCTGGATGTCTGGGTGCTATTCTCCTTGTCTGTTTATATATCAACACATTAAATAAGAATAGCCAAGTAAGTGCTTATTATATGTCAGAACACTTTTCTGGCATTTTCACATTGAAGGATAATAATCAATCTGTGAAGTAGATGCTAATTCCAGTTATCAGATGAGGAAATGGAAACTTTAAACAACCGTTTAAAGGAGTTTGCCCAAAAGTTCATAGCTACCAAGTAATGGAGCAGAACTTGGCTGCAAACAGTCGAAACTGCAGAGGCCAAATCTTTTCTTATCTACTCGCTATATGGACTGAGCAAAAGCAGACGTGTGACAGTGACGTCCACGTTTTCACTAAGCAGCATCAACGAGCAGGCTGGCGTGACGTGGGCCTGCACCTGCTTAGGAAGTGGTTACCTGCACCATGAGCGTGCGTGCGTCTCTCGGATGGTGTCATACTCTGATGCGGTTCTTTTTGAGGTCTTGTGAAGGTCAGGCCATAGGCTTGGAAGGAAGAAGCAAGGTCTTCACTCTATGACAAAGCCATTCCTCATGACAGTCACCAAGTCCTCAGGAAAACTGAAGTGTGACATGTTAAAATTCTTGGAGGTCACTTTCGGGCAGTGGCTGTGAAGGCGTCCATCCACCAGCCACCATCTCTTTCCCGTGTGCCACATGCGCATGGGATCCCCAGTACTGTAACACCTGGATCGTCAGGAGCCCTGCTGCGTTGGGTGTTTACAAGCTTCAGTGTTCCCAAGCTTTCACTAGTCTTATTTGCTTCAGCCATGGGCTTGGACTTGAGTGTTTAAAGCTGCAGGAGTCCCCTGAGCATGAAGTGGCCATGATAATCTTCCAGGGATGCTGAGGGGGAGGGAGTCCTGAAGAGGAGTGGGGGCTGGGGGGTTGAGCTGACTCTCCTCTAGGCCCCTTTCCATCTAATGCCATCCTTGGAGGTCTAGGTTTCATTTTATTAAAGAGGGCAACGTGTCTTCTCATCAGTAAGATCTGGTTGCAGCTCTTTATTGCTTTCTGTTGGTTACTACATAGTAATCCAGAAAGAATTTACACTCAGTGTGGCTGTTTTAAATCTCAACCTTCCAACAGTATTTATTTTAGTCCAGGATAATCCTAAAATCCTTTTGCATTTTCTATGCACATTTCCTGTGCTCATTCTCTTTTACAGTCTCCTGTGTTCAACATTCTGTCTCCAGACCTCTGCATGGTAATTTTTTTCTTGTCATTCTGATCTCTGTTTAAATATCACTTCTTCAATAAGGCCTTCCTTTTTGCCAAATTGAAACATCATCACGGTCCCTCCAGAATCATATTACCCTGTTTTATTTCTTTCATAGCACTTATTATTATCTGGATTATCTTGTTATTTATTTGTTCCTTGTGTTATTGTCTGTCTCCTGCAGTGGAATGTAAGGTCCATGGGATCAGGGGCGTTGCTTGTCTTTGAGACACAGTGATCTCTATGACTATATCCAGAACTGTTCCTGGCACATACATAAGAGATGATCACTAGACACTTAAACTAATAAATATTAGTGCAAGGCAGGTAAGGGAAGCCAGAATCAAGTTGGACAGGAGGACTTGCTGTAGGCCTAACACATCTGGGCTGTGACCCCGGGTCGAGCTAGGGGCGGGAATAAGGGCCAAGGAGAGAGCTGAGAGAGGGAGCACAGGCTGTGCCCTAAGAACCAGGCTACTGCACAGAGACAGCTGGAGGGGGCTCCGGGGGAGTCACAACACCAACCCACACCCAGTGGATAGCTTAACCCTCAGCACACATATATACCCCCAAATTCCCACACCCAGTGTCTCCAGTTCAAGATGAACTGCCCCTCCCATTCCTTGTGAGTGGGTGTGTACACATCCACACAGGCACGGATGTTTTGGGGTTGGTGAGTGGAGGCGGCAGGGACAACCACAAATCATTCTTCCCGTGGATGACTCTGAGTTCAGCTTCTCCCTGGACTGGCCGAGGAGAGAAGAAGCCAGAAGTTAGGCAGCCCCTAGTCCAAATCCAGCCTACAGGCTTGTTTCATTTGGCCCATAATACGTTTTTGTTTTTGTTTTCAGTTGTGCCAACATTTAAATGTAGGAGGTTTTGCACACAGATCTGGGTGTCTGGGTTATTTTGACAAATGGGAAGGCCTGGCTCGTTGCTCTCCCACCCCCACAGCCCAGCCTGCGCGTTGAACTGGCCTCGTTCCTTCTGGTCACCTGCCTGCTCTTCGTAGGCATTTGTCTTAGTCTCTTTGGGATGCTAACAAAATACCACAGACTGGCTACTTTATAAACAACAGAAATGCATTTCTCACAGTTCTGAAGACCCGACATCGGAGACAGACCAGGGTGCTAGCCCTTTCTCCTGAGTACCCTCCTCGGGGTTACAGGCCTCTCCGTGTGTCTTCATGTGGTGGAAAGGAGCACGTCTGTTCTCGGAAGCCTATTTTTTTTTTAAAAGTCTTACTTATTAAAGTATAGGTAACACATCATATTATGTTAGTTTCAGGTGTACAACATAGTGGTTTAACATCTATATACCATACAATGTGACCACCACAGTAAGTCTTAGTAACCATCTGTCACTATACAAAATTTTCATATTATTGACTACTTTCCCTGTGCTGTACATGACTTTCTCCTGACTTAGTTATTTTATAAATGAAAGTTTGTACCTCTTATCCCCCTTCACCCCCACCGCCTCCCCTTTGGCAACCATCAGTTTGTTCTCTGTATCTTTTTCTGTTTGTTTGTTTGTTTTCTCATGTGTTTTTTTCCCAAAGATTTTACATATAAATGAAATCACACCTCTGTGTTCATTAAAGCATTATTTACAATAGCCAACTTATATAAACAACCTAGGTGTCCATCGATAGATGAATGGATAAAGAAGAGGTGGTATATATAATGGAATATTACTTGGCCATAAAAAAGAATGGGATATTGCCATTTGTGACAACATGGATGGACCTAGAGGATATTATAATAAGTGGAATAAGTTAGATAAAAATAAATACTGAATGGAGCCTCTTTTATAAGGTCCTTAATCTCATTCCTGAGGGCTCTACCTTCCTAACCTAATTGCCTCCCAAAGGCTCCACCCCCTAATACCATAACACTGGGCATTAGGATTTCAACATATGAAATTTGGGAGGCACAAACATTCATTGCATAGCAGTATTTGAATTTGCAGTCTCTGGCATAATGTTTAATCCACAATGTAAATGCTTGGAAAATTTATTATCAGTAACTCTTTCCATGTTGGTAGAATTTGTGCAGAGATCATTCATTGCATAGGAACCTTCTAGGGCTCCTCACTGCTTGCCAAATGGTGTCCACATCCTTAACCCGGCAGCGGTCTCACCTGCACCCTCTATACAGTGGTTCTTGGATAAAGGCGGTAGAGCTCCACTGTATGGACTTCTACCCTATAGAAACAGCCCTATAAGCTTGGGAGAGACAGAAGGAGAGAAACAGAGAGACTCATAGAGAGAGACAGACTTAAACAATGTAGATCAACTTAAACAATGCCTTTCTCCCCACACCCATTCTACCCACAGAACATGTGCCCACTGGCACTGGATGCAGTTAAGCCTGAAACAATGAACATGTTTACAACATTTATGTAAAAAAAAAAGTGTGAGTGATTTTGGTCCCCTTACCACTAAGGAATGAAATACATTGTTGAGATGGTCAGGCTAACGGGGCTTTCCAGATATCCTCGAGGGAAAACTGAAGAACCGTTAAAGACCAAAGGGAGCATTCTCTGACAGAGAGTTAGGAGAAACCGATCCAACTATTCTCCAGTTTGTACTATGTAAACAGTCATGTGCTCTCCTATAATCGACCACACTCCTCCATCAATGAGTAACTCCATCTCACACCAACTTCTCCTGTTTGAATTATGAATTACATTTCAAACCTGAAATCCAGCTGTATCTTCATTTAATAACTTGGAATTCAAAGGAAACCTTTATTTTAAAGGGATAAACCAGATTATGTATTTTAATTTTTTCAAAGTAACTCACACTGACCATCCTGCACCCACCCTGACTCTTGCAGGAGCACCCCATACTCGGGCAACCCTTCTTTGTACTTCACCCCTGCAAGACGGATGAATTCCTGACTCCCGTGTTAAAGAATTCTCAAAAAATCAATAGGTAAGAAACACCATCAAGATACATTGGCTTTAACTCTTATTTTAAAAGTGTAAATCTTTTTATGTGACTCTGGAAGCTAAGCTAAAAAAGAAATATTCTTCGTAATAATAATAATGGCTAACATTTATTGATTTTTACTGTGTGCTAGGCTCTGTTCTATTCTAGATGTATTAATGCATTGGATTTTTATAACGCCCCTATGAGCTGAGTTCTATTATTTTACGCAGTTTACAGAGGAGAAAGCTAAGGCAAAGAAGGGTTAAATGATTCGGCCAAGGTCACAAAGCTAGTTAAGTGGTGGAACTGGGATTTGGAAATTGAAAAAACAGGCATTTTGCCTTAGAGAATGCTCTTCATCACCACATGCTACTGCCTTAGCAAATGCTATCAATTTTAAGTGTAAAATTAGAATCATCAAGGGGAGTCTCGAGTCCCAGTGCCTTGAACCACCTCAGTGAGGGATACTCACAGCTTTTTGGGGAGCTTGAGTCCTTGCCAAGCAATGGGGCTGGCATTTGGAAATGCGGGAATTGCAAGTGGTGGGCGCGTACCTTTGAAGAAAGCCTTGTTTTCTTTAATTATCGATAACTGATTTTCTATCATTCATCCAAACGACAGTGGAAACGTTAGACTTGCCTGTATTTTTCACTTGTTTCCCAGGCCCGTCAACTACGTCACGTCTTGGCTGAGCATTGTAGGGCCCGTGGTTGGGCTTCACCTGCCTCTGAGTTACGCCAGAGCCGCCTCTCAGGATGAGTGAAATGTCGACGGACGAGGTACAAAGCCTGGGCTGCATGTTTGCTCTTACAAAGATCCCGGTGTCAAATAGATACATTGTCCCTGCTGGCCCCACCATATGTGACATTTGCTTTCATGTTTTAGGCTGATCACTGATGTGTTTCTTAGAATTTTCCAACCAACCAGCACCCAATTATTGAGGAAGCATTTTACTTAGCTATAAGTGACACCCGCAACAGAGGACTGGGTGGGTTTATTTTATTTTAGAATTGATAGTCTTGAAGTAAATAACCTCCCTTTATTCTCTTGGCTTTTGTTTTGTTCTTGCTCTTCAGATTCTTCTGTTGAGCCAAAGAGCTTAGACGTTGCAGCAGGAAGAACACGGGAGTTTAAGTGGCTGACCCTGACTTTAATGGCACCCGTGCCGCGAGTTTTCAGCTCACCAAGATTTCGACATGGATTTCTTTTTCCCTTGGAAGCAAATGTCTGCAGCAACCGATATACCATATATTCAGAAGAAACACCTCAAAGACACAAATCAATATAAGTAGCAAAAACTGAATGTAACTCGATAATATAAATGCTGACATCATTAGGGCATTTTCACGTTGTTCTTTCGTGTCTCAGACGTGTTTTCTTCATCTTTCGTATGAGAACAAACTACCTCAATAGGGTTACTGTGAGAACCATGTGAGATCATCAGTACATGGAAAAATATTGTAAAGGGTTATACAAATACTCATTAAATGCCCTCCTTCCTGACACTGGATTGTTATTCACCCGGTCTACCGGTGAGTTTACTAGCCAATAAGGCAGTAAGAGGAACCTAATCTGGAAGAATTTGTGGTTGGCAGTTACTTGTTTCGTAACTAAGAGAGACATGTACTTGGCTCTTTAGAGCGTCTAGTTTAGTGTCTGTTGGTGAGGGACGCGCTTTGGAATCACCTGAGGCTGTCTCAAAGCACAGGTGCTGGCCATCACCTTCTGAAACAGCTCTCGGGGGGTTCCGAGGCACAGGTTTAGGGGAACCTCTTGTTTGGATATGTGGATTTATCTGTACTTTACTGGTCTCCCAACGGGCCTTTTCCAGTTATAGGTGTAGCTTCGGCAGGTTGCCCCGAGACTTCGGAGAGTGAGGAAGTCCGGGAGGCTCCTGTTCACAGGGGGCCCCCTGGGGAAGTGGAGGGTGAGGGGTGAAGAGAGCTGGGACCGCTCTGCCAGGCTGTGGGTAAGGGCTGCCCTCTCACAGAGGGAGTGGGAGCAGAGGAAGGGTTAACTCGAACTGCTAGAAAAGCTAAAAGTAAATTTTAAAATGCTGAGCTGCACATATTCACGCTGGGATGAGCGCTTGCTCGCATGCTTGCTGGGCATTTTGGTATTTACCACTTAACATCTTTCCAGCTTCTGCAAGGGGATCCCCCCACTCTCCCCACGTAAACACAGATTTCCCAGCACGTCGGTCCTCAAGCCGTGTCGTTTCTGGGATAAAAAAAAAAATTAATAATGTGTCATCTGGATCATGTACTGGTCTTGAAATATTATCTTATGCTAACAGATTCTGAGATGACAGTAGTCTATCAGTTTGGGGCCAGTGTGTTCGGTTTTTTTAAGGTAAAAAATTTTGGTTTTCTCTAATTGGTAGAGACCTAAAAATTCATGCGAGGCAGAAAGAAGTTCTGAAGCAGTCCTGTGGGTGGTGGAGACCAGTTCGATCCCTCTCCTTGGCCAGCTCTATTTCTTTTCGGACTGTTTTTCACTAAAAACAAAAAACCAAACTTTTAATTTTCAGTTGATAAAAATTTTCATTTTTAAAAATGCAGTTATGTAACGGTCTGTCATCCCAACAGTTATAAAACAATGGAAAGAAATTCGTTTTGTCAAAGTAACAGTTCTTTCTCTGGAATATAAAGATGACCCCTCTGGGACTTCCCTCCAGCCAGTAGGACACGAAGCCTCTTCAGTCAGAAAGAAGGCTGGTTAAAGCTGCTGCCCGCCGATCTCCTGGTCTCTGTTTTTGTGAGACCTTCGAAAAATTGCTTCACTCTCTGGTCCTCAGTTTCCTCATTTGCAGAACGAGGACGTTTAGGGGTGACGGTGAGGCCCCCTCCAGTGCCTGGGCGTGTGAAGCAGGAGAGATCTGGAGGCCCACCCTGTGCGTCTGGCTAGGTGCCGGCTGCGGCACCTGGGCCAATTTTCTTCATCTCCTTCCGTCCATTTCTATCCATAAAGCCTGCGGCGTCTGCCCCGCTCCCCTAACAAGGGCACAGGGAAGATCAAAGCGGCCAGTCAATCCCATGTGCTCTAAGACCCTCACAGTGCCACGTGGAGCGGGGGACACGGCCCGGCCCCTGCCCTGCGGTGACGCCCGCACACCTCCTCCTTCCCGCGGTTTGTGCCCGACTCCGCGGCTTCTCCGCCCACATCCTTACCTGACCTTGCTCCTGCTGGCTCCCACCTGGAAATGCTTTCTTTTCTACCCCCCTACCAATCCCCCCCTGATCGCTCCGATTCACTCTTTCCCCAAACCGTCCCTGACCGCCGCCCCATGGGTGAGCTCTCCCTCCGTTACCGGCTCTATGTGGTCTTATCAGCATTTATCTCCCTGTCCCCCTGATTTCTTCCCCTTTTTAACTATGGGTAGTGAGTAACTTAAGGTGATGACGCACGTTTGGGTATGTTCTGAGGCGGCATGTACGGAAGGGTTGCAGTCTGCCCCATAAGTGACCCAGAGAGGGCCGGGTTGGGGGCTTGAGCAGCTGGGCCAGCTCGCGGAGTGACCAGGCGAAGGGCCAAAGGCTGTGCTGCGAGCCTGTAAGCTGGAGGTTTAAAGTACAAGACTAACCACCCCTCCCATGAAAATGTGTTAAATAAAGAAAAATAGATTTCAAAAGTGGGGTTTTACATCCATTTCTCCCCAAATTGGTATAGTTTTTATTCGTAATCTCAAGACATCAGGAAATGGACATTTTCATGGTCAAAACCAGCACTTTATGTAATTCAGGGAGCTGAGAGTCCAATGAGCTGGTTGTTTCGATTTGCTTAGAATTAAAATTTGAGAATAAGAGTATGCAAATATTCACTTCATCAAATACACATTGAGTCCCTCTTATGTACCGAGCCCTGGGCTAGGTGAGGGGTAGCAAACAGAAACACACAACCCTGGCTCATAAGAATGTCCCGTCCACTGGAAAAGACCAGAGGAAGGTTCAGGGACAGTAGGACACAGACCGTGGCAGAGTGTGGAACGCAAGCAAGAGGGGACATTGGCAGAGGAGGGATGTGAGCGGAGCCCCTGATGGTGCACATGGGGACGTGGAGACAGAGGCTGGCTGGCTGGCAGGGGCGGGGCCAGGTCTGGGGGAGCCTTTATTGCCACACTGATTATTTATATTTGACCTGAAAAATCACAAAGAGCCGCTGAGGGAATATTCAAGTAAGGAGTTAAAGTGATCACATTTGCGTTTTAGAAAGAACCTGTATTTTTTAATGACTACTGCATATAACTCATTACACATACACGGAGTCAGTTTTTCACCAGCAGGTCTGGCCCGTTGGCTTTAGAAGCTACAGGGCTGCGGAAAGGGCTGGCAGTGTGCCAAGGATGCTTTTCAGTTGTGCCTGGAGCCTTCCTTCCCAAACAGAACCTGCCAGTGTCCTGAAAGGCCTGTCTTGGCTTCCTGTTTCACCTGGGGCAGGTCACTGCACTCGGCCTCTGGTTCCTGATGTGCTGAATGGAAGGAAGTGCATCAGAGGAAGTGAAATCAATGTATTGGTTTGTGACCAGTGTTTGTTTTTATGACATAGACTATGTCTGGGAAAGACACTCCCTGTGTTTCTCCTTCACTCTCACAGTTCAGCCGTACTCCCAACATTTCTGACACCAGATGGGGGGCTTCCACACTTCAAACAGTTCTGCAGCACCAGCGAGGGGTCCCACACACTTCAGTCAGCATCCGATCTTGTAGGTTAAGAGTTTAACCCCACAAGACTGCCCCATTTAAGATCCAGTCTCCCTCCAGTCCCAACTTGTCACCTGTAGTTTTAACCAACCAGCCTTAAATTGGGGTTCCCATGACCCTCTCCTTGGGTTTAATAATTTGCTAGAATGGCTCATAGCACTAAGGGAACACTTATGTTTGCCAGTTTGTTATATAATAAAGAATATAAATAGGAAGGTGGAGAGATCTTTATAGGGCGAGGTCCAGAAGGGTCCCAAGTGCAGAGCTTCTGTCCCCTGGAGTGGGGGTGTGTCGCCCTCTCGGCATGTGGGTGTGTTCACCATCCTGGAAGCTCTGTGAACGCTGTGCTTTAGGGATTTTAGGAAGGCTTCCTCACATAGGCATGATGGATTATTTCCTCCATGATTGATCGTTGACTCCACTTCTGTTTCCTGTCCCCTTCCCGAATGATGGGAAATGAGGCTGAAAGTTTTAAGCTTCTTTATTATTATTATTATTATTATTATTATTATTATTATTTGGTAAATTCTCACCCAAGAATATTTTTGCATTGATTTTTTTTTTTTTTTTTTTTTTTTAGATAGAGTGGAAGGGAGGAAGGGAGGAAGGGTGGGAAGGTGAGAGAGAGGGAAACATCGATATAAGAGAGACACATCGATTGATTGCCTCCTACATGCCCCAACTGGGCTGGGGATCGAACCTGCCACCCAGGTACATGCCCTTGACCAGGAATTGAACCCCAAAATCCTTTGGTCCATGGGCCAACACTAATCGCTGAACCAAACTGGCCAGGGCAAAGTCCCAAGCTTCTAATCAGAGCTTGGTCTTCCTGGTGACCACCATCCCCATCCTGAGTTAGTCAGGAGCCCGCCAGGTGTTGCCTCACTAGAACAAAAGGCACTCCTATCACCCAGGAAATTCCAAGGGATTTAGGAATTCTGTATCCGGAACTAGAGTCAAAGACCAAACAGAAAAACAAAAGATGCTCTGGTGTTCTTATCACTTAGGAAATGATAAGGGTTTTAGGAGCTCTGTGCTGGGAACTGGGGTAGAGACCAATATATATATATATTTTTTATTATTTCACAAATACATGGGGAAAAGTGCATTGTACATATGAGGAAATTACTGTTACTATTGTTTTGTGAAGCTTTGGTTTCAACTATATCGTGTGTGCGTGTGTGTGTGTGTGTGTGTGCACGCGCGCCAGGTTGTGATGAAACTATCAGAGATTTAAAAACAAATATATAGCCCTGGCCGGTGTGACTCAGTTGGTTGGGCCTCGTTCCATGCACCAAAAGGTCACCAGTTCAGTTCTCTGTCAGGGCACATGCCTGTGTCTGGGGATCAACCCCAGCAGGAAATGTGCTGGAGGCGGCAGCAGATGGCGTCTCTCTCTCCCTTTCTCCTTCTTTCTTCCTCTCTCTCTAAAAATCTATTTTAAATATTTTTAAAAGAAAATTAATAGGTAATGATCCCTCTTCCAATTCTAAGACCCTCTGATTTCCTCCTTATATTGCTGACCAGGTTGTTCTAGAAGGATATATGAGGTACTTAACAATTACTGTGCACATGGTCCTGGGATACTCTAGTATGTACATAGGTCCCTGCAGCTACCCTGAAGGATTTTTATAGGGCTTATCTGTAAAAGTGCTTTCACATTTTTATTCTTGAATGTGGTAGTTAGTGTTCTTTCAAGCAGTCAGGTGAAGACCTTGCTTTTATTCAACTTTTGTGTTGTCAATAGCGACACCTCGTGGTAATATAGCCCTGTTGCAGGTATTGTTTTTTAGAG